TACAATCTAATATTTTTAGAGTGAATTATAAATACATTTTTTAAGATTTGGTTAAAATATAAATTATTTTTTATGATTTAAAAAATTACAATTATCTCTTGTTAAATTTTTTTATTTAACAAAATTAACGAAAAAAATAAAATTCATAATTATTTTTTTATATAATAATAAAATTACCTTAATTGAAACATACTTTTAACATCATTAAAAACTAAGGGTGAGCAGTGGATATGCCGATCCGTCTAAACCGATCAAACTGAACCGATCTACCGTATTTTGGACCGATACTTGATGACGAGCGGACGGTTGCAGATTAATTTTTTCATTCCGTCTAGTTTTGGATGAATGACGAATTTGAAATTCTTTTAGTCGCAACCGAATCGTCAAATCACAAGCATCCTCAGTAATTTGTAAAATTTTGTATTTTCAATTTGTTTAGATATTTTGTTTGTATTTTTAATTGAAAAATAGTTTAAATATTCGATTAAATATATTTTGTTGAAAAATAATTTTCAACTTGAATATGTTTTTTAAATTGAAAAAAATAAATAGATTATTTATCTATATTTTTTGATTTTTAAATCAAACTCTAAAAATAATAAATAAAAAAGATGATATATGCTGGTTGATTTTTGTTTTCAAAAACATGTATAAATGTAATAATACAGAGCTATGCAATCTCTACTACTACTTTGTTCATGGTTTTGGTGGTTTGAATTATTTTTATATTTTAAGAACCACAGATTGTAATACATTATATGGATAAGGCATGCTGTGATTGTAATATGTGGATGAAGCATGCAGTGATTGTAATACTATTTTAAGTCATTGACTGTGATACTTTTTATTTTTATTTTTATTTAGGAAGTGTACAAGTTGAATTATATTGAAAATTTATAAAATTTTAAACTGCCAAACCGATTCTTATCTATCCGCCAATTCGCTCAATCCATATCAGCCTGATTGGTGGACTGATGTGAATTGATTTTCTCCAATCTGGTGGATGGATGAGAGATTGGAGGTTTCGTGGTCGTAACCGACCCTTATTAAAAACTGTTAATTAATTTGATAATTTATTAATAAATGAGCGATTTGTTATGAAATTATAACCTCAGAGAGTGAAATGTAATTTTGAAAATCATAGAGAGCGATTTGTATTTTAATTAAATCTCAGGAGGTATATTTATAATTTATCCATATTTTTAAATTAAAAAAAAAATTATTCCGCTTATAAAGTTAGACTGAGTTGTGATTTTGTACTAATTTAATATTTGAAATAAGTTCGAGATAACACATATCATTTTATTATATGATGTAAATTCAGCTCGAAGTTGGCCTGATTCTAATTTGACTACTTTAAAAACAATGATCTATAATAACTATCAAGCCCTTGTTTAAGAATATGTTAGTAATTTTTAAATTTTTAGGTTAAAATATGAGATAACAAAAATTAGTAAGTTTGACATATTTTTTAGTTTTTAACTCAAACAAAAAAAAAAAAAAAGTGAAAAAATGTTTAACTTTTTGTATAATTTGTTATTTATTTATTTTTTGTATTTTTTTGAACTTTTAAACTAAAATTAGATGGTTTTTTTTTTTAATTAATAATTAATTGTTAGATTAGTAGTTTAGGAAAACTTACACTTATATACACTTTGTAGGAAAATTTTATTCTCTTATGAATCGAACCCAATACCTACTCATAAAAAAGATATAAAAAAAACTTGAGAGTCAAAAGGTTAACCAATTGCACGAGAGCCATTGATAACTAAAGTTAAACGTTGCCAGCCCAAGTCATTATAAATTTCAATTTTTTAAAAATAATTTAAAATAAAAATTTGTTTATATGAATTTTTCACAACCATTTGTTCTGGTCGAATCCGAAATGTTAATTCCGCAATGTAAATGTTTTACCATGGCTATGCAGGCTGGTTACAGACACGTGGATACCGCTTCGGAGTATGGACTTCAAGAAGAGGTTGACCCTTACTCTCTCTATTTGCACTTTTAATTCTTCAAAAGGGCAAAATATATTGCAGCAGTGATTTAGACCCCTCAAACTTTAACTCTCCAAACACACACGTGGTGGGTGGTGATTAGAGGAAAAGAGAAAAAGAAAAAGTGACCAATCAAAAAAGAAACGGGGTCAAAGGGAGTGGGGGAAAGGAGGTCCCAATCTTTATTCAATATATTGATAGCCTCTATATTTTGACTCTTGTATTATTTTAATTTTTATAATTCTAATAAATTCAATTTTAACTATGAATTTATAATTTTATTCGGTGTTATCAATTAGATCAAATTAATACATAAATTCTAAAATTAAAGATTCAAATAAAGCTAATTATAGGGAGCAAATCAAGCTAAAATGACAAGGAGCAAAATATTTTTGCCCTTCTCCAAATTAATTACATAATACATATAAGCAAGCGTTTTCAGTGAAGTTTCAAGTGATGTATAACAATCCTAGTAGATTTTAATAAAAGAATTGAAGAATGAATTACAGATTAGTCCATATGATTGACTAAAATATCTATAGGTCTTATAAACTTTTTGTAATGCATCAATAAGTTTTAAAATGTTTATTTTCACCCAACATTTTTTTAGTAATATTGATAGGTAAAAAATGAGCAAAATTTATGAGTAAATAAATTTGTCTTGTTAGTCCTCAAGCTAAAATAGATACAAATGGTAAAAATATTGACGAATCCATATTGCCGTGTTTCAGGTTGGGGATGGGATTAAGGCAGCCATCCATGCAGGAGTGGAAAGGAGGGACCTCTTCATCACGTCTAAGCTATGGTAAGAATAGTTACACAAAATCCAATTCTTTACATATATACAAAGTCTAGCATAGAGCATCACTTTTACACATTTGTGGTGGTTATGAAATATTTTATAGGTGTACTGAATTGTCCCTGGAGAGAGTTCGCCTGGCATTGATGAATACCCTTCAAGAACTACAACTTGGCTACCTTGATCTCTATCTAGTTATATACCTTGCCTTTTATTTATTTTTTCAAAAAATTTATAGTAGTATTTATTTTGTTATAGAGTAAAACATTGTGTATGTGTATTTTGTGCTAAAGATCCGCTGGCCGTTTGGTTTTTAAAAGACGGGGCTAGTAGGCCTCCCAAGGCAGGGGATGTTTTGGACTTCGACATGGAAGGGGTTTGGAGAGAAATGGAGAAGCTTGTGAAGTATCAACTTGTTAGAGACATTGGTGTTTGCAATTTTACTACGATGAAGCTCAATAAGTTACTCGGTATTGCGCAAACAATGCCTTCTCTGTGCCAAGTGAGTGTGATTGAATGTGTTGCTTGTTAATATTTTCAGAACATAAAACCTTATGCTATGGATCACCTATCATGTGTATCATCAAGAAATTAAGACAAACATGCGTACCCAAATCCATTGTTATAGTTGAACGGAAGCGTGATTGTCAATACATCCTTTGATATTGCCTTTGTTATTGCCTTCCAATCCTTTCCTTATTAGTGCCTTAAGTTTCTCCTTGAGAGGATATAGAAAAAATTGGCAGTTCTTCCTATCAGGCAGGATTAGGGACCATAACAACTTAAGGTTAAATAGGTTTTCAAAAACAAAAACCGTGTGGCAGTTTCTTAAGAGAATGAAAACCAACTTAACCAATTTTGTTTTAATTTTTATTTCTGCCTCTCATAGAAATAGAAATTTCTCAACTAGTATTTACACATTAGGTCCATGACACATATACCCTCAAGCCTATTAACTAAATTGAATCACTTAAATTGTAGGCTTCTTATAAATGATAACACCACATTTAAAATATGTCTCATTGAGACATTATCTAACATTGCTTAGTCTTCTTCTGTGTGTGTGTATCTCCATAGAACAAGTAGTGAACTTTTACAATCTTGTGTTTTGATCTCAGATGGAGATGCATCCAGGATGGAGGAATGATAAAATGCTGGATTTTTGCAAAAAGAACGGCATCCACGTAACTGTAAGATCATAAAACCTCGCTTCTCGCTCTAATAAGGTTAAGGGAAAAGACAGATGTCCCTAAATTACCAAATTTTATTTTACCAATTACACATATGGGGGCCTACACCCATGTGTGTGGTTTGGTAAAAAAATGGGTAGAAAATAGGACTTTGTAGCAAAGTTGTAATGTCAAGGATGAGCCTTAGGTGTCACATTAGATAGTAGCCAAATATGGTTACCGTAGCATTATTTAAATTGGGACTCGGAGTAAAACCTAGAGTCTAGTTTTTCTGAGCTTATGGTAGTTCATACTTCATAGTTTTCTTGTAGCGATATTTTAGTGATTTTGGATGAATATTTCAGGCATACTCACCGTTGGGCTCGCAAAACGGTGGTCACGATCTCATCCAACAGTAGAGAGGGTAGCAAAGAAGCTGAACAGGACCCCAGGGCAGGTGCTTGTGAGGTGGGCTATTCAGAGAGGTACTAGTGTCATTCCCAAATCGAGCCACCCCGATAGGATCAAAGAGAACATTAATGTCTTCAGCTGGGAAATTCCAGAGCAAGACTAGTTCTTTGTAGCATTCCAGAACAGGTTTATATATCTATCGTACTTGTATTGAATGTATCGATCTAACACATTAACGGTTTGTTTACCATGAGTACATATTTTTGTTAAAATTGTTGTTATGGTTGCAGAAACGAGTTTTGGATGGTGAAAATCTGTTTGTGAACAAGAATGATGGGCCTTTTAAGAGCGTGGCAGACCTGTGGGATCACGAAGACTAATTGTTCAACAGTGATAGCAGAGGTGGCTGTACTTACTCTTCAATTATGTCGGTTTGTTGTGCAATTGATTTCCTAAAAACCAAAGCTATTTGGAATGGATTCAGATAATAGAAATCGTTCGTGTGATCGTATCTCATACTTGCTAGCTTGATTTTGTGTTTGTTGGTCTAGACAATCCGAAGGAAGAAATGTATTTATCTTTTATCTTCAAATTATCTTCTAATGTGACCTATTTCTGTTACACAAACTCTGATCCAAAGATGAAAGTACTTTCTTCCATTGTACTAATGTCAATACTAGCTTTTCTTTTCACTCTTTTTACAAGTTTGGCATCTTCAAATCTCTCCATGAAGAATGTAAAAATAGTTACAATTTACAAATGCCAATCAGTTTGGCAAAACACCCCCTAGGGTTTCAGTGAATTTACAGTTCATTTAACACATTTTCTTCTATTTGACATCATGCACTCGTCTCCGGCGGCTAAGACCGTGCTGACTCACCGACCGAGAAAGCATCATTACAGAATCGCCTCGTGGGAGTTCGCAGTTTATTACAGTGTCGAGCCCGTCATCATTCTTTACCTTTTTGGAGTAAGGAGGAAGTTCAAAATCTGAATAATTCTTACTGAACCGGCTTGCTTCTGACACAGATTTGGTTAAGAGCGGTCGGTTTTTGAGAAACAAGCATATGACTGCACAATCGTCGACCTTGGAAGTTGGATACTGATGCCTCCATGCTCGAACGGCTCGGTCTACCAAGAGTCTAGCCGCCAGGGAACGCTTTTTTGCCGAAGTAACAATTTTTACTACTTCATTATTTGACAGCACATCCCATATCTGAAATCAAGAAAAAATATAGCTTCATTTTGAGAAGGGCCCATTTGATTAGAGTGAAAAAGATTATATAAAGTGAATTGAAAAGAAAAAATTATTTTCCAAGTATATGTTTGGCTAAGATGAATTTTTTGTGTGAAAGTTACAAAAGTTGGGATTAGTAATCTTTTTCAGAATTCGAATGGATTTGGTATTATACACGAGGAATGTTATTGAAAAGGAAGAATGGTTTCTTTCCTTCTTCACTTAGGAGTTGTGTGAGATGAAAATCTCATGCATGGTTTTGAATGAGAGAATGAAGTGTGGCCTGTTAAACAAACTAAGTTACTTGAGTTTGACTCGTGTTTGGCTTGTTAAAAGCTCATTTGAGATCGGTTTATTATGTAAACAAGACAAGTTTGAACACATTCTGAAGTTTGTTAAGATTTCAAGCCAACTTGGACAATTTATTACTTGGCTCGGCTCAGCTCGACTCAACCTATTTCATGATTGGCAAGGTTAAATCTCATTTGAGATCAACTCAAAAGATAAACAAGCCAAGCTTAAAAACATTTTGAGACTTGTTAAGTTTTCAACCTAAACTATTTACTACTCGGCTGGTTTACAGTCCCAATTGTGGCTCTACTTTCATAAGGAGAAGAGAGGAAAAAAAAAAAAAAAAGTGTGATTTGCAAGAAATTGGAAGTCAATTTACAATGTTGATATGAATTGTACGAAAAAATGAACTTTCTTGCACTTTCTATCATGTTAAACAAAGACACGAATTTATTTTTTTTTCTCTTTTTTGAATTTCCACCCAAACTCACCCACAGATATTCAAGATCATGCTCATACCTTCATTTCACAACTTCTAAAAAAATTATGAAGTTTTTCAACCCTAAAAAAGAAGAGTATATTGAGATTAAACACTTGGCTTGAGAATTCTTACCCCATCAGTTGCTAAAACCACAAATTCATCTTGGTCTGTAAGCTTCCTATAAAAAACTTCAGGGGTTGAGATTAGTCCAAAATCTTTTAAGCAAAAATCTCCAAAAGCCCTTGCCATTGCTAGCCCAGGGCAATCTCGCTCAGGCATCCATACCCGAAACACTGCTGGTTCTTCCTCCAATGCAAAAACTCTTCCCTCACTATTCTTAATTCTCTCCGCTTCATCTGAATAATATTAGGAGAAGGAAAAAGGGAAAAAGAAAAAGAGTCAAATGACACAACATTTTAATCTTTTATTGAAGAGGTATTGAAAGATATCGCAACCTACTTGGAAGATTCGGTTTCAAATCGACTGTGAGTTGGACAGAAACAAGTTGATCTTTCTTGCCTCTCGTACAAAGAACTGCGCGAGAATCCCCCAAATTTGCAATCACCAAGTGTTCGCCCTGAAAATTTGAACGATCATTGATCAATAATCAATTATCATCACCTTATTATCAACTAGCATGCAAATTTGTGTATTGAACAATACCTGTCTGAGTACTGCTACTGATGTTGAGCCACTGCAGTATGTATCAATAGTAACATTGTGACAGAGATCTTCATCCATCTCCGCAAATGATTTGATTAAAGTCTTCTTCCATGAAGAGAAAAATGGATTTTTAGAAACTTCTTCTTCTTCTTCTTCTTCTTCTTCTTCTTCTTTGTTGTTGTTGTTTTTCTCATCATCAACATCATTGTTGCCATTAATTTGTGAGTGCTTGAAGTATGAGCATAGCTTTGACGGTAATGTGTCGCGTACTTGTTGTGACACTTTGTGACCAGATGGACCATGCCCATCGAACACGGCGCAGAAGTAGGCATCTTTTTCACCATTGAAGTTCTGAAGATAGAAATATGATATTCATTAGTAATTTCACTGGTTTTAATTATTTAATTCATATGGATGATGCTTCAATGAATGCTAAAAAACTTCACCATTCACAAGTTCTTTGTTATATATCTATTTTATATTACATAAAACCTACAAGCCAGTGGAGCTTTGTCACAATTTTTGCATTCCCAAATGGCCCAGCAACTGCCTTACTTTTTTTTTATTTTAAATTTTAAAATTTCACAACTTCTTCAATTTTCATTTTTTCTTTGTCTACATTATTTTTTTGTCAATTAATAAAAGATCAATATAGGAGTACTGATTTTCATAGCACACCCATCGGTTTGCACACCTTCTAGTTTATATAAAGTATGGATATCTCAAGGATGACATGGTAACAAGACAAATTTATTTGCAATTATATAATAAAAATAATAGAATTTTTCTAAAAACACATGAGACCACTTTTTCTGAAAATGCATAAACAAATAAAACAATGTCAACCCATATATTCTACATGAGCTATGCACAACAAAATGAGCATTGCATAAAGAAATTTAAACAATCTCAACATATCAGCGTACACACATTATTCATTTACACCAATACACAAACACATACAAGTCAATAGGGAATACATAAAAAAAAGATTGAATTATTTTTAATACCTCCCAAACAGTCATGGAATCTTGATTAACCCCTTTTCTCCCTTGTTGGGAAAACATTGATACAAGCTTAGATGACCCTTCTAATCTCACACGTCCCCCGATGCAATCTGCATTTGGTATATGATCATCATCATCAATACAATCTTTATTTGGTATATTATGATTATCATCCCTTTCAGCCACAATTTCTCTCTTCTTGTGCCCCTCTTCCACTATGAACCCATTAAACCTCTCATCCCTACTACAACATGCGCCCATTTTTCCAAGATTTCCAAGAAAAACAGAGCCAACCCAGAAAATTTGGGACAAAACTCGAAAATTTTCCCGGAAAATGAAGCGGTAATGTGAGGGAAAAAAAGGGATTTTCTTGGTGACCCAGGTGTCAGTGGTATGTAATGGGGACAAAAGGAGGTGAATAGGAAGGGAATGGTGTTGGTTTATAGAGATGGGTAATGAATAAACCGACAAAAGACAAAAAGGGGACCAATGATGGATTAGATTACAACGTGAATTTGGATCAAAACGTGTTAAGAATTTTGGGTTATGACCAACGGCGGTGTTGTCCTTGTTGGTTTCTCTGTCTCTTTGATGTTTGCATCATTGTCACAAGAGATCAATGTCATCACCAATCTCATCTCTCAACCCCATATAAAAGTCAAAAAGTGCTATTTCTGCTAAAAATGTGCTATTAATCCAACTCACCTGTATACCCCCATTTTGACTGATGTTAATTTATTTTTATCCTATTTCAAAAATAATAATAACAAATAAATAAATAAAAATCTACATGCGCAGAAAACTCTGAATACTAGTCGTGATGAGCACAAATTATTTAATAGGTCTTATTTATATTCTGCATGTATGTCTTTATAATTGTATAAAGCTATGTAACTATATTTTTTCATTTTTTCATTTTTTCTTCTATATTTTAGCCAAAGTGTGTGTACTAACTGTGGGTATTAATTTTTGACCACACAATTAAACGGAGAACTTAGTCAGAGAACACCGGCAGAATAGATTAAGCTTGAACAACTTGTCACCGAAAGATAAGAATCCGGTGGTGGTTCGTTCACCCGGGGTACTCCGATGCCTAAGTCAATAATTAAATATCTCTCAAAGATAACTAATTGTGCTTAACTCACAAGAAAGAACTTATTGTTTACAGTATATCACACCTCTTTGAGACCCACGGGGGTGTCTTGCCTTTATAGCCAACACTGACCTGATCCCTGTAGAAGCCTCACTTCAGTGGACTCAGGCTCAATACTCATTCTGGACTTTTAGCTAGATAGGGATAAACTCTATAAGAACTTTATCTTTATCTAGACTGAAATCCTCCTATATTCTAGGACTCTTGTCCCTTATCTGCTTATCTCGGATTCCGGTATCTCCGCAGATAATCTCGGCTTAGCCGAGATCACCTCGGCATCAAGACCAAGCCACGTCGCACCTCGGCTGACACTTCGACATCACCTTGGTCACGTGCTATCATTCAAAATATGTCTCTAGAACTGCCTCCTAGGTTCTATTACCTCGACAATCTGAGGCGATGGAACCTACATCGCTTATTCATATATTATATCGGTTAAAATTCATTCTTTCCTTCAACTGAGATCGTGACTTGTCGGTTTCAAGTACCCAGGACTCAACTGTCCATCTTTATCAATGACCAAGAAACTAGAACCAAATTCTTTGAGTTCCTTAGCCGAGATCATTCCTCTAGCTGAGGTTTTTGCTTCATTAAATCAGGAATTCCAAGAGTTTTATTTGCGCATAAATTGTCGCATAAGGTTTTCTCAATTGTTTCCTCCACGCGTCCCTTTCTCATTGGTTCGTACCTGACACGCGCTATCAGGTCACGTCGCTTTTGCGCACGCTGCTTGACATGCACGTCATCCAAGGCATTATGGTTTGCCACATTTTTTATTTTTAACAAAACTCCCTCATTCTCTCTCTTTGTCTCTTCACTTTTCACTTTTTCGTTCTTTCTCTACCCAGATTTTCTCTCTCTACAACATTCACCATTTTCATACCTTTGAAGCTCTACAACCGTGCTCTGTTTCGCTTTTCCAGCGCATTTTTCACTGTTCCACTCCAACGTTTGCCGTTGTCTAACTCCGGCGAGTATTACTTTGGTTTCGTTTCGTTAGCCTTATTTGGTAAGTTCTCAATTTCTGTCTTTTCAAATTTCAGTCTTCCACTGTTCTGAATACGCTTCTGCTTGGTTACATGTTTTGTATGTTGCATTCGTTGCTTGTTGAATCTCGTATTCATAGCTGTATCATGAATCGATTTCTTGAATTTGCTCTATATTTTGAAGTTTGTCACTATGTCTCTTGATTATCAATCACCCTTGTTTGTGATCTGTGCACATTGCCCTCACATACTCACTCAATGTTTTGTGGATTTGGGATTTTATATCTGTGTTTCTTTCTTCTCCCTGTGATTTTTGAATTTTGCCTTTGAATCCTTTTTGGCCCTGAACTTCGTTCCGTTTCTGTTTGCTTTGTCTGTTTTTCATATTCTTGCTCATGTTTTTTGTTTCTGTAGTTCTAGGTTTGGGATTTTCCATAGAACCCACATTCCTAAGAAAAAGCTGAAACAAATTTCCCTTAAGATCTTCAAAATCCTCACCCTAGTGCCTTTTTTAGGATCTAGCCGAGGTTTTTAACCCTTGTTAAGCTATTTTATCAAAATCTTGTTTACCGAACTCACTCTAGCCGAGATTATGGGCATGTTCAGGTGGAAAGTAGATAGCCCGACCAAACTAGAGTACTTCCGGCAAGAGTTTTCCATCCCGGCCGATGTTCATCTGAGGTTGGCTGAGAATGACGACTCAATTATACTTGATCAGGATTATATACCATTCCCAATCGTCTCTATTGTTGAAGGAGGAGTTAGGTTTCCCCCTAGATATCCTCTTTAGGGAAGTCCTCCACCATTATAAACTCAATCCTATGCAGCTGGCCGTTAACTCTTTTAGGATTATCAATGGCATTGCCGAACTGGCACGTCGGTAGAATGCCAGAATCACCCTCACTGATATCTAGTATTACTACACCATGTGTAGCTTAAAAAGCCCCAAAGGCTACACTTACAACCTCAAGGCGAGATTTATTCAATATAAGCTGATAGCCGATATACCAGATTCTAATAAAGGCGCGACAGACAACTACCTAATTGTCTTGGGCAATTGGGAGTTTGCGCTAGATGATTAACTCCACATTTTCCTCCTACGTTGCGAAGTTTTTAGGGATGACAAGGGTAAGGACCTAGTCCCCTCCCAAAGTCCCTTTCTCTGTTGCCTTACTTAACTATCTTTCTGTTTCTAATGTTCGCTTTGTGTTTTTGCAGTCTTCCTCAGCCCGAAAGGATTTTCGCCAATACTACGTGCCAAACAAGAATTTGGTGTGTCTTCTTGGCTTGCCCATTGAAGTGCACAAGGATTTAGTCCTCCTTAACTTTATCCCTACGTTTAATAGTCCTCTGCCCAATGTCTTGAGAAAGAGCAAATCTCTTTCATCTACTACCACTCCTCCAGCTGCCTTATCTTCAAGGCCAGATTAGGCCTGTATCTCTGATCTTGCAGACCAACCATCAATTTCTGCCCCCTAGCTAATTCCTCCATCATAGCGCCAACGCCAACGCCAACGCCGACGCCGAGCTCCAGTTTCTGCTCCTGTTGGCAAAATTCGCAGTCGTTGCCACTAACGCCGAGAATTGGAAGCATCGGCTCACTATGTTGCTAACCCATCCATAGCCCTTCCGGTAATCCGTTTTGGTACCAAGGTCACTGTTGCTGCTACCATCAAAGAAATGGGCCGAGTTAAAATCATTCCGGACGACCTTCTTGCCGACATTCCTGGTGTGGTATCGGTTCATTCCTCATCTCCTTCTCAATTTCAGCCAAAACTCATGGTCAAAAGGGTTAAAAGGGCTAAGGCCAAACCCAGCACCACCGAGGTAGAATCAGAGGACATAGTGCCAATTTCCAAATTGGCTGAAATAGAGAAGTCTGCCTCTGCCGAGAAAAGGCCTACTGAGGCTGAAGGGTCTGATCAATCGCAATCCAAAAGGCCGAGGTCTGGTGAGGATCCTCAGCCCGACGTTTTCCATGTCGACGAGGTTTGGACTCCATAAGTCAAGGTTGGAGACCAAACTCTTCTAACTGGGGATAGCGCACTCGATAGCGTAGAAGTCGGCGCTGTAGTCTCTACTGCCGTTCTTTTTTTGGCCAATATCAATCAGATGGCTGAGCTCTCGGAGTACAAAAACTACACCTTGATGATGTAACACTGTGTCTTGGTATAGTTTCAACACTTGTAACTTTTTGTTTAATTTTAACTCTGGTTTTTATACTTAACGAATTTGTCTTCCTTTTTTTTCCAAACTATCCAGCAGGGCCACTGCTTCGCAGTTAAAATCGAGGAATTTAAAAAGAAATTGATAAACAAGACAAATGAGGCAGCTAAGCTTTTATCTTCTCTAAATAAGGCCGAGGCCCGCATCTAAAATTTGCAATACCACGCAAAAACTGCCCAATTGGTCCAGAGCAAAGCCGAGGATTACACTGAAGCTATTGAGAATGTGGTCAAAATCGTTAAGGTCGAGGTTAAAGAAGCCAAAGAAAAGGAGTCTCAGGCCTAGACTGAGCTCCAAGCGGCATTGGCTACCAAAGCGGCAGAAATCAAGGCGGCCGGTAAGAAGGCCTATGCCGAAGCGGTAGCCAACGTGCGAGATGCTTACAAAAAGCGTGCAACAAGGAGTACAACAAGGAGTACACCCTAGGCTGGATGGCTGCTTTGAACGAGTTGGCCATCCTTGATGACTCGCCTCTTCGGGATACAAGTCGACTTATTATGCCCTTTCCTTCTACTCTATGCCAATCTGAGGACGAGGCTAAGGTTGACGCTGAAGAAGTTGCAACTGTTGGGGCCAAGTCCCCAACTCTGAATGAGCAAGTCCTAGACTTGGCTCAAGATGACGAGGACGAGGTTCAAAAAATTACTTTCGAAGTTGGGATCGAGACTGCCAATAAAAGCCTGGATGACACTCTTTGTGAGATCGACGTTGAGGTCCAAGTCGAAAGGTCTGCCCAGCTGCCTGCCGAGGCTGACACAACGCCAATTGCCGAAGCAGGGCAGACTGCAAAAGATGTCGGAGATACATGAACTGAGGATTTTTCCCCTTTTGTACTTTTTCTTCTTACTTTTGAGCAGTTGTAACATTTTGCCATCTGAGTTATTTTACTTTTCTTTTGGCCGATGTTCTTGTTTGTAATACGAACAAATAGTTTCCTTGGCCAGGCCAAAGTGCCTTTTTGTCTTTGAAATAGTTTCCTTTATGAATGCATGTTTTCTTTTGGCTAAATGTTGAATGTTTTTTTCATATATGTTTACTGCTTTTCTCTTTATGCCTTACATGTTTGTATGTTTCTCCATACTTAGAATATTTTTCTACTTCTTCAAAGTCTATAAATCACTTCGAGGTAGAACATATCGAATAAGTATTACCTCAGAGTTATCCTTAGCTAACCACCTCGATTTTAAACCTTGACTGTTTTTCTCGGCCAACAGTTAAAAATATTTTATTAAAATATTTCTATAAGTGTGTTGTTTCTTT